ATCCTGTTTAGAGTAGTTTACCCCATAGACATTCCAATGAACCATCGTTTTCTGTTAGCGTTCCTACAAAACATCCTTTAAAGATTTGTAAAGCACCAACTATGGTATATAATATTGATTGGTGAAGGACTGTTATTCTATGTAATAATTTTTAGTGCTTATTATAATTTACTAAGAACAACTAATATTTCTCAAAACAAAACTACGAACCTTCAATAGGAAGTAGCTGATCTATAATATTCTAAGAGCATGGACAATAGTAGGTAAATTTCACAACCCATGTGGGACCTGAAAAGTACAATTTTCCTTATAATTGAACCAATCACGACTATTCTGCTATCTAGGTTGACGGACGGGTACTGTGAGACGCAAGTTGGTACGTGAGGAAGAGTTTGGGCCTTGGAAAAAAAAGTAACTGGGAATATATCACATATTTACTAATTCATATTCAACATATTGACTTTAAGCATTAAGTCATATATGTGCTGTCTTGTGTGAGAACGGGTTGTCACCCCGAGTTGTGTCCCTGCCATGTTTTCCCTATGTGTGTAGAGAGAGAGACGAGAGAGAGAGAGAGAGAGTATAGAGAGGGAGAGATAGCAGAGAGAGAGAGAGAGGAGAGAAATAGAGACGAGATAAGAGATAGAGATAGAGATATAGAGAGAGAGAGAGAGAGAGAGAGGAGAGAGAGAGAGAGAGAGAGAGAGAGAGAGAGAGAGAGAGAGAGAGAGAGAGAGAGAGAGAGAGAGAGAGAGAGAGAGAGAGAGAGAGAGAGAGAGAGAGAGAGAGAGAGAGAGAGAGAGAGAGAGAGAGAGAGAGGATAGAGAGAGGAGAGAAAGTGAGAGAGAGGAGAGATGTAGGGGAGAGATGGGGAGCCGGTCGGCCGAGCGGACAGCACGCTGGACTTGTGATCCTGTGGTCCTGGGTTCGATCCCAGGCGCCGGCGAGAAACAATGGGCAGAGTTTCTTTCACCCTATGCCCCTGTTACCTAGCAGTAAAATAGGTACCTGGGTGTTAGTCAGCTGTCATGGGCTGCTTTCTGGGGGTGGAGGCCTGGTCGAAGACCGGGCCGCGGGGACACTAAAGCCCCGAAATCATCTCAAGATAACCTCAAGAGAGAGGGAGAGAGAGAGAGAAGGGGGTGGGAGAGGATAGAGGTGGAGAGAAAGTGAGAGAGAGGAGAGATGTAGGGGAGAGATAGAGAGAGGGAGAGAGAGAGAGAGGGAGGGAGAGAGAGAGAGAGACAGAGAGAGAGAGAGAGAAAGAGAGAGAGAGAGTCTGTGTGTGTGTGTGTCTCTCTCTCTTTAGCTTACAGTGGGGGGAGAGGGGTACCCAGGGATTAACACAGTATCCAGTTCCGAAATGAGCTAACGGGTTTCCTTAACTACCTCCTTTATTATCAAGTTTACTATTATATTCTCTCATAAAATGAGAATGCATTAGTGATTACGATATGATATTTAAACCTTGCACAGTGTTGAGACATCAGGAGGCACTTACCAGTCCCCACAAGCACTTCATCTCCACAAGCACAACTAGGCAAATTTTCCGGCGAGTCGCTCCTGTCCTACTCACTGTGTGACCTGGTGTCCTGGCGTTGGTGATTTTTCTCTCAGGATTGCTCAGAATTCGGAGATCCGTCTCCTGCAGCCACCTGCCACAGGTAACGGTAACCCAACCTGATCCTTGCAACCACTGTGTCGCAAAGTCTGGTCGACGTTTTGTGCTGCCCATAGATATAGGTTTCAGATCTGAACAAATCATAGCTATTTATACTAGTGCTTTCAGGTTGTTGGAAGTCAGTAATTTCTTTCCTATCAGACCTGAGTGTTTGGAAAAATACAGTTTTGACAAAAGAGATGGGAACACCTAGATCTAATTCAACTTCATGTTTGTTACACGCTAATTTGGCTACAATGTCTGTCTCATTATGACGGGTTATGTTTATGTGTGATGGTAGCCATGCAAAGGAGATTCGAAATCCTTTGCTCTATGCAGCGATTAGGTCATTTATAATTGGTAGTATGAGGTTCTTGTGGTCGATCTCCGAGGAGAAATTTTCGATTGCTTGAAGAGCAGGCTTTGAATCACAAAATGTTATTCCTCCTCCAATTTTTGTTAATGTACTGGTAGCTAGTTGTAGTGCCGCTAGTTCTGCTTGTGTGGAGGTCAGTCAGTTGTTTAACCTGACACTGACAGTCTTTGTGCCAATATTATTTCTATAAAACCAACATGCTGCTGCAGCCCTTCCAGTAGAAGATTGGACTGAGCCGTCGGTGTAGACACAGTGTTCGTGAGATCTTAAAATCTCGATGGAGGAGGCAATTGTTTCGAGTGTGACAGCTTTGAGAAGAGCTAGATTCTCATTACCTCTCTTGGTGACAGGTGTGTATGATACGTGAATGGTGGAGTACAGATAAAGAGGAATATCAGAGACAGATAGATTGTACTTAAGAGGAATGTTGAGTTTATGAGATTGTAGGCATTGTTGCTCAGCCATTTATCATAAAAGGAGTGAGTTAGTATGTCGGCATCAGTCAATAGGGTGTTAACAGCACTAAATAATTTGTCTCTGAGCAATGCAGGAGATGTAAGGTTTCTCATGACTTTCAGGCAAAATGTTGTATTGACTTGCATAATTATCTCTATTATGGTTGGAAGCCTTAGTTCTTCCCTCATGTTGATGATTCTTGTGCATCTTGGGGCACCAAGAATTATCCTCATGGCTTCATTCCATATTACTTCAAGTTTGTCCAACACAGAGGAGGGGAAATTAATTAAGTGCAAAGCATTATAATCAACGAGAGATCTAACAAACATCATATAGAATAGTCTAGCATATTTAATATTGATCCCAATACTCTTGTGCTTAATGAATTAATCAGCATTAATCCTCAGGGCGCCTTAATCCACTTGACCGGTAAGTGTTTTCAGTGGTTATAGTCTTTTATTTTAACCTACGATAGATCGTTTACAATGTCATTGTTAATACCAACTCCAAGGTATTTGTGCTGCCTACACGTTTCAATGTTCTGGTGGTTGTCCTTGAAAGTTATAGGGACATGAGTTTTCTCTTAGGGATGGAGAACTCTGGATTTAGTTATAGATATAACAAGACCCCATTCAATGCTTTTAGCAGCGAGTGAATCCAGTAGAGCTTTCAGTCTAGTTTGGGTATTTGCAACAATGCCTATGTCATCGGCATAACAGATGACGGCTTCGTTAAGTAGTGTGGGAATGTCAATTGTTAATTTGTACATCAGAACATTGAACAGTGTAGGACTTAGCACTCCACCCTGAGGTGTACCCAACTCAAAGGGTGCACAAAGTTTACTTTTGACCCCCATGATAAGGACTGAGGCGGTTCTGTTACTCAGGTAACCCCTGAGCCATGTCAACAGTCTTCCCCTAACTCCAAAAGAGGCTAGTTGATCTAAGAGTTTTTCTCTGTTTGCTGTATCAAAAGCAGTTTGGAGATCAATAAATGCCGTCTGAGAGCTTGGTCCCTCTCTGATAAAATATTCAGCAAAGCAAGTTTGTGTGCTTCTTCCAGGAAGGAAACCATAGAGGTTAGGAGCAAGGTGGGGCTTGATTTGAAACATTAGTCTGTCGTGTATAATCCTCTCAAGAACTTTACACATGCCCGACGTCAGAGAAATGGGTCTGAATTTTTGTGAATTAGGTTTGGGAGTTATGAGTCCCTGTGTCCAGCGCTCAGGTAAGACACCCTGCCTTAGACTTTGATTGAACAATTCTAGCAAAGGGCTAATTAGGAGCTCAGCAAGTACTCTTTTGGTATTGTATGTGATGCCATCCTCTCCAGGAGAGGTACCCTTACCTTTCTTGAGTGCATTTTTAATTTCAAAGGGGGTTATGTCATAGTTATCATCAGGCCCTATTTCACTACAGGCAATTTAAATATTCAAGTTACGATTTATTTTGGTACTAGCCATATTGTTGAAGCAGCATGTCGGCATAGTCTACAGGTGAATGGTGATCAAGTTGACGACTGCTAGCACGAGAAATCTTTTTAATTTTATTCGACATTTGAGATGAGGATGTTGCATGATTGATGCCTTACAAAAACTGTTCTCAGTGCTGGTTATACACCTGTTCCTTTAGCTCTCTAAACTCTCGGCTGGCCTTAAGAAATATGTTGAGGGTGTCAGCTGTTTTGTGTTTTATACTGCTCAGCTAGGAATAGAACTCTGTCATGCAGGGACATAAGGCGTGAATCAGTGAACCACCTCTGTCCCTTCCTCACTGTTTTGGGCCTTGTGGATTTTACAATATTGTCATAAAAAGCGATTACTTCAGTGACCAGGTCCTCATATGCATATGTCCCGTAAGTGTAAATTTTCAGGGATATTAATTATTTTTTTCAAAGCTTAGGGTCTGACATTGATAGTGTATGAATTAAATTTGGCAAAGTGGTCACTAACTAGTTCGTGAACAATTAATCCTCCGACAGCATTATCGATGAGACCGTGACCAATGGCATAACCAAACCTGCCACCCATGAGGTGTATGACGTTAGAGTAGTCAAAGTTGAATACGGACATATTATTATCTCATAAATATTTCACAAAGACCCTGCCATTCCTGTTTGTTTTAGTGTCACCCAGGCTAGTGTGTCTAGCATTAAAATCACCCATGACAATGGTTTGAGAGCTGCTGGTGATTTTTGGAGGAGAAGCTTCCACCATTTGATCGGTCTAGGGATCATGAAAGTCAACGGTAAATGAACCACCCAGTTTACTTGGGTGAACCTGTCACACATAACTCAAGTTATGTACAAATATTTACTGACACATACAAATTAATAATCATTCTTATTCTTTCTGAAATTCCTTTTAACGTCGTTCAGGCTTAGTTTATATTTGTGTTTGGACTGCAGGTATTTAAGAAATATTGCAATGATGGCTTACTTTATGACTTTTTCATATATAAATGAAACACAATTATGTATTCCTTTCATATTCATTATCCTTAGCAAAGTTTAGGCATTTAAGATTTGATTTGATACAATAATTATAATTCTAGTGATATTGGGCTTGTATTTTCCCTTCGGTGTCAGAGATCAGAGGATGTTGTCCAATCCTTTCTTGGTGGAGGTGAAGTAGTGAAGGAGATGGTCGCTGGTGACCTCAAGACACAGGCAGAATCCACTTACTATCAGGCCGCACGCCAGCACTACAAAAATACCCTACAATGTGGAGCGAAAATAAAACATTAAATGTTATTATGAAGTAAATAAACACTTATCAACAGATAACTTGGCATTACAAAGATTTAATGACCACAACGTATGAATCATTATATCTCTTCCTTTCAAATAGGAGGACAAGCTTTATATTTGGTCATATTTCATGGAATTTCCAAGACAAAAATATTAAGAAGGATAACCCAGAGACTGTTGAGAGAGAGCGTCGAGCTGGTGGTGATCCTGGTGGGAGGGTTCGCGCAGGAAGTGCCATTTGGAATTCTGGTTTTCACCCACTGGTTATACAGCCCAAATTCTGTTATTGCCAAGATCCTGCAGATATTAGTAAAAGATATATATATATATATATATATATATATATATATATATATATATATATATATATATATATATATATATATATATATATATATATAAGTGTTCTAAAGTTGTATACTTCACTCTCGTGTTTAGCAGAGTTGTGCTTTAAGCATAGACACTGTGTCTTCCCATATTAACAGGGACTTGATGAAATAAACGTATAAATGACCCCTCACTTGCTCTAGTGCTCTTGGGAGGTGGTGATCTTTGGTGTATTTAAATACTCCGAAATTACCATCTCTTTTAGGGGTCTAAGCAGGTGGTGGAGCAAGTTAAGGCGTACCTGTTATGCCAGTTGCTGGAAGGCTTCTGTGCTGGCTAGGGTTCGAGTCTCCTGGTGGGAAAGTGTTCTAAAGTTATATATATATATATATATATATATATATATATATATATATATATATATATATATATATATATATATATATATATATATATATTATATATATATATATATATATATATATAATTATATATATATATATATATATATATATATATATATATATATATATATATATATATATATATATATATATATATATATATATTATATATATATATATATATATATATATAATTATATATATATATATATATATAATTATATATATATATATGTATATTATATATATATATATATATATATATATATATATATTTATATATAGTATATATATATATATATATATATATATATATATGTCGTTGTAATGACCGCTTACCCTCTGTCGTAATAACCGCGGCCTCTATTGAAATAACCCGATGTTCCCCAGTATTAATCCTGTTATCTTGTGATCTCTCATAATCGTAATATACGCTTTCTGTTGTAATTCTCCGTCTCTCTTCACTCAATACCCCAGCTTAACGCTGTTACAGTCCAGCATGACCCCTCACTGGACTGCCACGTACATAAGTCATTCGTCTCCTCCTCTTCCCCCCCCCCTGTCGCCCATTTGTCAGGGTCAAGAGGTTGACCTGAGGGTAGGGTGGTCGTGGATACCTTGGCTTCTCCCACTCAATTTCCCCACTCAGATATTTCCCTCTCCACCCCCTCTCATCCCTCTCTGTCCCTCTCAGCAGCGGCCTTCCCCATACCAGGCAGAGTCAAATGTCCCTACTCCTATCTTAGAGGAGACAGGCTTGAACATAAATTATCAGTTTTGTAAACATTGCTCGCAGGTGTCTGGGCTCCATAGACGCGCCTTGTCCCCCTTCTCTAGCTGGGGAGAGCTGACTCAATCTTCAGAAATTCATGTAGCTTTCCACGACAGATCAGTGAAGGTGATTGGCCTGAGATAAGGGCCAAGTCCTTATTGGCCCTAGAGAGCCAGACCTCAGGCCTACGTGTTAAATGGTTGGCCATTGCCAAAATAATGGGTAGAGCCCTGGGGCTGTATTAGATGGTGGGAGGAGTAATCCTTCCCAGCAATAGGTTGGAAAAACTAAATTTCATTAGTGTGTCTTGGGAGTGTATTAGGAACAGGGCCGCAAGCCCGTATCCTCGGGGCCGAGGGCAGCCATCAACATCTTGGCCGTGGTGCGGGTATTTAAGGTATAGTGCACTTGAGTTTTGTGTCCTCGGTAAATATCCATTGTGCCTCTAGGGAAATAGAATAGGTGATGTGTTCAAATTGTCTTAATTTACATGTTTCATAAAATAAATTGTATAGCTTGTCCAGTGGTATTCACTTAACTCCCCTTTGATATATTTTGCTACTTTGTCATTTTTAGGTGTTGTATTGGAAGCCCCCAGGTTCTCCTAACAATTAATCGATACTAAAGTTGCCCTTGGATTTAAATTAGTAACGTAAATTACACAAACTAATTTTCCAAAATTTATTTCTGAAATTCATATTACCCGGAGTCCCATGGTTACTGATTCCTTGCCTTCCTGGGGGATCGGTGATAGACACATTCAGGTATGGTTGGTCGGGAAGGTGGTGGCAGTGCTTTAATGGTTTTTATTTTATAATTAGTAATAAGCGAATAACCCTTGTCCTTGGTGTATCTTCCTCATTTAATATTCCTCTTATGTACGTGGCAGTCCAGTGAGGGGTCATGCTGGACTGTAACAGCGTTAAGCTGGGGTATTGAGTGAAGAGAGACGGAGAATTACAACAGAAAGCGTATATTACGATTATGAGAGATCACAAGGACAAGGGTTATTCGCTTATTACTAATTATAAAATAAAAACCATTAAAGCACTGCCACCACCTTCCCGACCAACCATACCTGAATGTGTCTATCACCGATCCCCCAGGAAGGCAAGGAATCAGTAACCATGGGACTCCGGGTAATATGAATTTCAGAAATAAATTTTGGAAAATTAGTTTGTGTAATTTACGTTACTAATTTAAATCCAAGGGCAACTTTAGTATCGATTAATTGTTAGGAGAACCTGGGGGCTTCCAATACAACACCTAAAAATGACAAAGTAGCAAAATATATCAAAGGGGAGTTAAGTGAATACCACTGGACAAGCTATACAATTTATTTTATGAAACATGTAAATTAAGACAATTTGAACACATCACCTATTCTATTTCCCTAGAGGCACAATGGATATTTACCGAGGACACAAAACTCAAGTGCACTATACCTTAAATACCCGCACCACGGCCAAGATGTTGATGGCTGCCCTCGGCCCCGAGGATACGGGCTTGCGGCCCTGTTCCTAATACACTCCCAAGACACACTAATGAAATTTAGTTTTTCCAACCTATTGCTGGGAAGGATTACTCCTCCCACCATCTAATACAGCCCCAGGGCTCCACCCATTATTTTGGCAATGGCCAACCATTTAACACGTAGGCCTGAGGTCTGGCTCTCTAGGGCCAATAAGGACTTGGCCCTTATCTCAGGCCAATCACCTTCACTGATCTGTCGTGGAAAGCTACATGAATTTCTGAAGATTGAGTCAGCTCTCCCCAGCTAGAGAAGGGGGACAAGGCGCGTCTATGGAGCCCAGACACCTGCGAGCAATGTTTACAAAACTGATAATTTATGTTCAAGCCTGTCTCCTCTAAGATAGGAGTAGGGACATTTGACTCTGCCTGGTATGGGGAAGGCCGCTGCTGAGAGGGACAGAGAGGGATGAGAGGGGGTGGAGAGGGAAATATCTGAGTGGGGAAATTGAGTGGGAGAAGCCAAGGTATCCACGACCACCCTACCCTCAGGTCAACCTCTTGACCCTGACAAATGGGCGACAGGGGGGGGGGAAGAGGAGGAGACGAATGACGGCCAAGGGGAGGGGAGAAGGACGGAGGGGAGAGGGAGAAGGAAAGGAGGGGAGAAGGGGAGGGAAAAGAGGGGAGAAGGGAGAACCAATGATCTGAGCCCCAGATCATTACATCGTACCTAGTAGCTAGAACGCACTTCTCAGCCTACTATGCAAGGCCCGATTTGCCTAATAAGCCAAGTTTTCATGAATTAATATATTTTCTCTAATTTTTTTCTTATGAAATGATAAAGCTACCCATTTCATCATGTATGAGGTCAATTTTTTTATTGGAGTTAAAATTAACGTAGATATATGACCGGACCTAACCAACCCTACCTAACCTAACCTATCTTTATAGGTTAGGTTAAGTTACATAGCCGAAAAAATTAGGTTAGGTTAGGTAGTCGAAAAAACATTAATTCATGAAAACTTGGCTTATTAGGCAAATCGGGCCTTGCATAGTAGGCTGAGAAGTGCGTTCTGGCTACTATATATATATATATATATATATATATATATATATATATATATATATATATATATATATATATATATATATATATGTATATATATATATATATATATATATATATATATATATATATATATATATATATATATGTATGTATATATGTATGTATATATATGCCTGAAAACTCACACCTCAGAAGTGACTCGAACCCATACTCCAAGGAGCAACGCAACTGGTAACTACAGGACGCCTTAATCCACTTGACCATCACGACCGGACAAAAGGAAGTGATAGCCGAAGCTATTTGAACCACTTCCCCACCGGCACTCGGATGGTAATCACGGGCATAGCATTTCATCAAATCACCTCATTCTTTGGGGCACACGTGAGGAACACAAATGCGAACAAGCCTGAATGGTCCCCAGGACTATATGCGACTGAAAACTCACACCCCAGAAGTGACTCGAACTTATACTCCCAGGAGCAACACAACTGGTAACTACAGGATTCCTTAATCCACTTGACCATCACGACCGGACATAAGGAAGTGATAGCCGAAGCTATTTGAACCACTTCCCCGCCGGCACTCGGATGGTAATCTTGGGCATAGCATTTTATCAAATCACCTCATTCTTTGGGGCACACGTGAGGAACACAAATGCAAACAAGCCTGAATGGTCCCCAGGATTATATGCGACTGAAAACCAAATATATATATATATATATATATATATATGTTGTACCTAGTAGCTAGAACGTCGTACTCGGCCTACTATGCAAGGCCCAATTTGCCTAATAAGCCAAGTTTTCCAGAATTAATATATTTTCTCTAATTTTTTCCTTATGAAATGATAAAGCTACTCATTTCATTATGTATGAGGTCAATTTTTTTTATTGGAGTTAAAATTAACGTAGATATATGACCGAACCTAACTAACCCTACCTAACCTAACCTATCTTTATAGGTTAGGTTAGGTTAGGTAGCCGAAAAAGTTAGGTTAGGTTAGGTAAGTTAGGTAGTCGAAAACAATTAATTCATGAAAACTTGGCTTATTAGGCAAATCGGGCTTTGCATAGTAGGCTGAGAAGTGCGTTTTATATATATATATATATATATATATATATATATATATATATATATATATATATATATATATATATATATATATATATATATATGTCGTACCTAGTAGCCAGAACGTACTTCTCAGCCTACTATTCAAGGCCTGATTTGCCTAATAAGCCAAGTTTTCCTG